GTTTCCTAACATTTACAAATTTGGGCTTTGCATATTTATTTGTGTGGTGATTTCGTGAACCCAATGTGGTGAAGAACCCTGATTTACTAATCATGATACCCCTCCTATTGCACATAAATGAGCACTGTGGCTTGCTTAAAACCTTTGTGTCTGCCATTTATGAAGGAAGGAAAGAGGGGTAGAAGAGCGGAGAGCCGGAGAGAGGAGGGAGGGAAATCTCTGACCTTTACTAGGTCACAACGTTACATGGTCTTCCTGTTATCTTCATCTATAAGTCAGGTATGATAATGCCTATTTTCCAAGATTGTTATGAGCATTAAATGAAACAACCAATGAGATGTTATTTTAGAAACTGTGAAGTGGAATAGCATTTTGAATATAAGGCACATTGTAAAAAGCATTCTGACAGTTAGTGATGAAACTGTTGAATGAAAAAAGAATGAAGGACAGGTGATGAATTCCCTTCAGAGTTGAAGCCAAAATGGATTTTAAAAGACTTAATAGAGAAGGTAACAGAGCAGAGGAATGAATAGGTTTAATAAGCAGAAATAAAACACTTTCTATACTTACTCCATAAAGTAAGTGTACGTGTGTATATATAAACTGACTCCTCACCAGAATGACACCAAGGAAGGATAGACATTTCTGTCTCTTTTGCTCATAGCTATATTCCTACTGTCTATAATAGCATTGGTATATGATTAGTATCCTACAAATACTTACTGAATGAATAAATAATTATAAATCAATAATGTGAAGGAATGTAAGGATGGAGGGGATAAGAAATGTCACAAGAAATGTTATGTGCAAAAACACAGACAAAACATGGGAAATGATGTTGCCTTGGGAAGCCTGAGCTTCCAGAGACCAGGAATGGAGGGGGCTAGTGGAGGTGAGAGATCCAGGAAACACGGACACAGATGTCAATGGCTACCCTGGAGGGCTGATGGGACTTAGAGGCCACAAATCACTTCTAAGCCAAACTGAAGCACTGACATCCTTGGTAAAGCTGAAAGGAAAGCAATCCCCCATTAAAACATGAAAATGAAGTGCCCTGAGTCCGTCCTAATAGCCAGCCTGAACAAAATTCTCCTTACACATCATGGGTCATTGACAACAGGTGATATACAATGATAGAGAAGGAAAAAATGTGTGTGTCATTATAATAGAGATGAAAACTATGGAAATCATCATGAGCATCTGAATTCAAAATGCCAGTAAATGTAAATCATGTTATTTGCATAGAAATGTGGCATTGCTGCAGATATTGATTAATATTCAGAAGAAAATGAATAATGAATAAAATGCCACTTTTAAAATTATGAGAGAAAAATGTAATTACGCATATCTTTTGGAAAAACCTCACCTCACTCTTAGAGGTACTTAATAAGAGAAGGGGAACTGAAAACAAACGGGTGTTAAAGACTTTGAGCCAGTAGTACATCATGATCTTCTTTTTTTAATGTTAAGAAATGACTACCCAGGCCCTCCCTGGTGGCGCAGCGGGTTAAAGCACAGCACTGAGAATATAAAGCCGCTTCCGCATGAGTTCGATCCCCACCTGCCCCGGAGGTGACCACATGGTGTGGCAGACCTCTCCTGACCCACCCGCTGCTCCCCTCAGCAGTGTACTTTGTCAATCTGCCTGTTCTGTTCCCCGCTCTGTCTCTGGTGAAGCCTCTCACTGCCCCTGAGCCTCTGGCCTGTACCTCAGTTCTGTATGCACAAGTAAATAAATCTTTAAAAAAAAGAAAGAAAAAGAAATGACTGCCCAATCAGTATCTGTGATAATGATCTGTAATCTTACCAGTGTGAGATTGATGATAAATACCAAGTACTGATTTTCTAATAACATGAAAAACAGATCTACAGCACATGTTCAGATAGGAGTCTTTTCAGTCCAGTCATTGTCATATAATTCAAATCAAATATTTTTAAGGTATCTGTTAATGCAATCACCTCACAGCATACTTCCAAACTCCCAGTGCCCAAAGCTTATTTTCATCTGAGGCTCAGAGAGTCAAAGTTTCTGAAATAATTGAGTTCTTGTCTAATTACATAATGACTAATTTAGAACCTCATTTATTTGGAGAGTCTCTGGCATAGCAAATCCATTTAAAATGACACACAAGTGCAGGTAATTAAAAATTAAAGTTGAAATCAAGATGAAAAAAAGCAAGATTAAAGCTGGTTTAGACTGCTCTGATTAGCTGTGGAGGGCAGTGAATGGAAGAGGGGCTTAATAGACTTTCAAAGAGGCAAAGAGGCAGACGATGGAATGCAGCTTCGTGAGCACCAATGCTCTTTCGAATCTTTTCAATATATATTCCATTGCAAACCTGGCACGGGGCAACTGGGAGAGATGACCTAATTGGGTGCGAGTCCGTGACAGAGATTCTCTGTCCCGGCCACAGGAAGCCCTCACCGTGTCTCCTGTCCCGGGAGAGAATGCCAGGTCTTCTGAGAAAAAGGGGGGGAAACAGCAAGAGATGAACAAGGACACTGTACACAGATGCACATAGTCTACGCCAAGCCCTTTAGTATAGTAACCTCATGCAGCGGCTCGAGCAGTAACACACATGCATGCACACACACACACACATACATTATAATGCTCTTTGCTAATGCATTTTACCAGTTTGCAAATGACTTCTCTATCTATACTCTTTATCCTCACACCACCCAAAATAGAACAAGCAATTTTACTGTCTCCAATTGCTTAAGGAACCAACCTAAGGTGTGACATACCTAAAGTGCTAGGACTAGAAGTACAAAATATTGACTCCAAATCCCAAAATGTACCATGTTCCTACTTGTGGACATTGTTTCACTCCTTTTGGATTTTTCTTTCTTCCTCCTTCATTTTCCTTTCGTCTACTGCCTTGTCTACTTCTTTCATTTTCTCGTTCCCCCTGCTACTTCCTGACTTAGTCCCTCTTATTCCTGTCTATGGCCACCAACTAGACATCCACAACTTGAAGGGTCTGGCCGCACACTCTAAAAGTACAAAGCATTCCAGTTTTTCAGGTGTTTCTGCTGCAACACTGACTCCTGATAACTCATGGGAGGAAGTGGAGGTAACCTGCAGGGTAGAGATAATTACTTTTCCAAACCTGGTTTTCACTCCAGTTCACTGAAGTTCAATGGAGGGGGCCTTTCTATGAAAAAAACCTCAAAGCTGTGGTTTTCCAAGAGTTCTACTATTTCCATTCTGAATCCCAGAAAACAAAGCTATCCTTCCTTTTGCTCCAGTTAAGATTCCCAGTCTGTGTCCAGAAGAACCACTGATAATGCTTTGCCAAACCCGGATCATTCTCCTTAAGACTTATAACTGTATACTGACTGAGTCATAAAACAAATGTACAGACAAATTCCTCTCCTAAGGACCAAGTGAGCTCATAAATGGGAGGAAGGATGGCTCATGTCTTGAAGGATGATATTACCTAAAATTCTGCACAAAAGGGATATTCTTGGACCCCATTCCAAGTTGAATGGACTAGAAATTCTGGGGATAGGCCCAGAAACCCATGTTAGTTAATAAACCCTCCTGATAGGTCTAATGCTGGTGAAGTTGGGAACCCAGGCCTAAGTACAGCTCTTCGGAACATCCCTGCACTAGTTGCTGAGACACGTGACATATCACCCAGTTAGGAGCTTGGGTGAAGTGTGTCCCTCTCCAGACCCCTCTTCCTTACCCATCAAGTGAAGAAGTCTTTCTCGGTGAGCATCATGAACTACTCTGTTCTATGCATTCTGTCAATCTCCCTGACCATCATTATGTTCTTACTCCACAATAATCTTGCTTTCTTAAAGTCTTAGGGCTCAGTGGTCACCTGTCATGGTCCACATGTCATCTCAGCTGTGATATAAGACAGGTAGTTTTTGAAGTGACCAGAATCGAGAAACAAGGGGTAAGGCCAATCCCAGGGGAATGATTCAACAAATTCAAACTTTTCCCAATTCCTAATTTATTTGAAATCTAGTCCAGTGCCATCAGATTTCAAATTGAAATGTGGATTTGGGAGGAGTGAGTAGGACCATTTATAAAACTTGTTGATATTTTCCCCTCTTGCAGCATTAAATAGAATATTTATCAAAAGGATGCTATATGCCAAAACAACAATAACAACAACAACAACAACAAAAACTAACATCCCAGCAAACTGTGATTTATCAAGAATTTGCTTGTCCTGTTCATTTGAATTGATGCATTGTTAGAAACACTTATGTAAATAAGTCAGGAAGGTTCCTCCAGGAGACTATACTTTGACTCTCAGCAACAGGAATATCCACTTCAACATATCTACCACCGCATATTTATGAAGTCTCTACCACAGGCTTGGGGATCCAGCATTAATTAGTCAGACAAGGTCCCTTTCCTTGTGCAGCTGGTTGTCTAGCAGGAAAGGTACAAATTGCCTTAATGATTGCTAGGTAGAAGTGTTATCAGAGCAGATTCCAGAAAGCTCATCTGACATCAGCCTGTGTCAGCAGGGAGCGGCAGTGACTTTGAGGACAACATGTTAATACTTACGGGTAGCATGCAACAAACTCCTGCAAATAACCATGACTCTCAAGGGCAGATTCCACCAGAAAGTGCTCCCCAACTTCCCCCCTCCCTTCCTCCAAAGTCACTCCTGGAGGGGAGCAGGGATAGACACAGAAACCTCAAGACCCAGAGGGAAGGATCAGCATGAATGTTTTAGCTTGTAGCCTGATTTTACTACTTTGCACTAGCTATTACTTTTCATTATTAACATGGTTATTCCCTGCTTTAATATTTGCAAAACTTTAAAAGCAAATGCCCCTTGAAATAGGTGTTCTTAATTAAACCCCACCATCATATACAAATGACTGAATCCTCGCTAAATAAATGTGAAGCTGTGATGGACCTTGAGACTGGTGCCTCTGCTTGCCTTGTGCGCGTCTCTCTACAGCCATCCCATAATCAGATGCCCAGGGAAAAGGGCCGCCAGATACAAAAGCAGGTACACACTTACTGTTGTCCTCAGCAGCACCACATCTGCTTCTTGCAAAGAACATGGGACGCAGTTTGCCCACACATGCCAGGCAGGCTTCCAGTATAACACCAGAGGGAGGATCCCAAGTGAGAAGATGGATCCAGCAAGGCAGAGGATTTTCCGGCAGCCTTGAGTCCGGTAGCCGAATATCTCCTGGAGCAGAACCAAAATGACCCTGAATATTGGTCAAGTGCAATAAACAATACAGGAACAAATTATAATTTGTGTGATGAAACTGAGGACAGAGAATGAAGAAACTAAAGGGGATAAGGGCAGGACAGGGTGAGAGGTGGAACGAGGAGAAGGCTGCCTAAAGGGTACTCTGATGGGATGTGATGATCAACACTTTTCCATGTGTGTACTGGCCATCTTCAAGTCTTCTTGGGAGACATGTCTATTTAGCATTTCTGCCCATTTGTAAATGGGTTATTTGTTTTCTTGCTGAGTTCTATGTAGAATTGGGTATTAGCCCTTTTTTGAACATAAGATATTCATTTTTTCCCCATTTAGCAAGGATTCTTTTTTGTTTGTTTTATGGACAGTTTGTTACATCATACAGAAGCTTTTTAATTTGATGTAGTTCCATTTGTTTATATTTTGTTCCTCTGCTGTAGAGACAAGTTCACAAAGACATCACTAAAGCCATAGTGGGGTAGTGCTTTGCCTGTTTTCTTCAATGCATTTCTGGTTTGTGTCTTACAATCATGGACTTAATTCACTCTGAGTTAGTTTTTGTGAGGTATGAGACAGTGATCTAGTTTCACTCTTCTACTTGTGCTTGTTCATTTTTCCAAACACCATTTGTTGAAGACTCTCTTTTCTCAAATGTATTTTCTTGGTTACTCTGTGATAGATTAAATGTTACAAATACAAATTTGTGGATTTATTTCTGGGCTCTTCATCTATTCCATTGGTCTATGTGCCTGCTTTTGTTCCAGTATTGCACTGTTTTGATTATTGCAGCATCAAGTATAGTTTGAAGTTGGAGATTTGTTACTGCTGCTCTTCTTCTCTTCTGTCAGGATTACTCTGATTATTCAGTATCTTTTGTGGTTCCATATGAATTGTTTTTAAATATTTATTATTTATGGGCCAGGGGTTGGGAGAGTGAGAGGACTCACCAAAGACAGAGTGGGGAGCAAAACAGGTAGATCTACTGAAACACACTACTGAAGGGAACAGTGGGTAGGCCAGGAGAGGTCTGCCACGCCATGTGAGTCAGCTCCCTGGCCGGGAATCAAATTCATGCCGCAGTGGCTGTGGACATCTTCATAGTGCTGCACCTTAAACCACTGCACCACCATATGAATTTCAATCAAATTTCTTCTACTTTGAAGAATGCCATTGGAGCCTTGATAAGGATTGTATTGAATCTGTATTTTGCTTTGGGTAAGATGACCATCTTAACCATACGAATTCTTCTAATCCACTAGCAGAAACTGTCTTTCCTTTTTCTTTTTTTCTATCATCTTCTGTTTGTTTTTTTTAACAATGTATTTGGTTTTCATTGTGTAGGTCCTTCACCTCAATTTTTAAGTATACTCCAATTATATAATTATTTTTGTTTGTGATTATGAGTGGTAGCAATCCCACTCTTGGGGGATCTGAAGCCATCAATCCAAAAAGCTCTATATCCCACAATGTCCATTGCAAAATTATTTACAATAGCTGCAACATGGAAACAACCTATGTGCTTACTGATAGCTGATTGGATAAAGAAGATGTGGCATAGCCACACTATAGAATACTGTTCACCCATATGGAAAGATGAAATACTGTCATTTACAACAAAATAGGAGGAATCCAAGGAAATAATGTGTAGTAAAGCAAGTGAGAATGACAAGGAAAATATTGGACATTTATATAATGGTTAACAAAGTAAAATACAGATACTAATACACATTAATAAATGAAATGAGGTTTCTGAGGTTCAGAGGGAGTGAGAAGAGAGAAAGTCAGCAATATGTAAGGGGTTTGATGAGGAGAACCAAAGAAAGGTGACAGCAATCCTTGTAAGCAGGATTTAGAAGATCTCTCTCTTACACATGTGGATCTTGTCTTGAACCAAAGTGCTAAAGCTGTGTCTCGAGCCTCAGGCTCTAGTGTCAAGACAGTGTACTTAAGTTTCCCTGAATAAACTTTAAGTGTGATAATAAGAAAGTGTGCTTTCTTGTTGATGAACTAAAATTATTTTCTTAATCTGGGCAAATTACTTGATCCTGTAGCTGCATAGCCCAATGGCAGTATCTCCATTATCCAGATGTTTGAAATAGGCTCAGTGGGGCTTACTACAATGACAAGGGAAACAAAACCAAAAAATAAACAAATGGCACTACATCAAATTAAAGCACTTCCATGAAACTTTAGAAACTATCATTAAAACAAAAAGACATCCCGCCAAACAGTGGGGAAAATAAAGCATCGTCAATCCAAGAAGGGACTAATAGCTGAATTCTAGTAAGAACACTTAGTAAGTGTTCTTACACCAAACGACATAGTCAACAAATGGGCAGAAGAGCTACATAGATACTTCTCCCAAGAAAACACAGAGATGGCCAATAGGCACGTGAAAAAATTCTCATCATCACTTATTTTTATTAGAGAAATGCAAATCCAAACCACAATTAGGTAACACCTCACACTTGTGAGAATGGCTTACATAAAACAGATCAGGAAAAAATGAGTGTTGCTGAGTGCGGAGAAAAGGGAGCCCTCCTACACTGTTGGTGGGAATGCAGACCAGTTCAGCTTCTTTGGATAATAGTATGGAGATTTCTCAAGACATTAAAACAGACCTACCATATGAGTCAACAATCCTAGATATCTACAGAAGCATACAAAAACACTAATTCAAAGGTATATATTCACTCCTGTATTATTACAACAGTATTTACAGTAACCAACCTAAGTGTCCAAGAGTAGACAAGTGGATAAAAGGAGACATGGTCTATTACATGATGGAACCCCACTCAGTTATAAAATAAGATTACATCTTGCCATTTGCAATACTATGGATGGGTCTAGAGGGAACAGTGTTAAGCACAATAAGTTAGCAGGAGAAAGATAAATATTGCATAGTTTCGCTTATATGTGGAATATGAGAAAATCAAATGGTTAGACAAAGACAAACCTTGAAAGGTGACCAGATATGAAGCATACAGGAGCAGAAGGAGAGGAAGAAAGATGAAAATGGGGACTGTGGGTAAGATCACAAGGAAATATGGTGATGGACTATGGTTGCTTTGGGGGTGGGAGAACTATGGTGACCACTCATATATTTCCCTAAAATTAACAATAATGTAAGAAAAAGTGTACTTTAAAAAAAAAGATTTATTTATTTATGCATACCAGAGCTGGGGTGCAGGCCAGAGGTGCAAGGACCATGAGAGGACTCACCAGAGAGAGTGGAGAGCAGAACAGACAGTTTAATGATGTACACTGCTGAGGGGAGCAGCAGGCAAGACAGCACCATGTGGATCACCTCCAGGGCCTGAGATCGAACACACACTGATGTGGCTACTGCTAGCTTTCAGAAAGGGCCCAAAAGTAGCACATTTTAAAAGAAAAGTTTACCTTCCTAATGATAAGCCCTTTTCCCTTATTTCCAATTTTTTAATGTGAAGAGATAGATTTCACCATAATTTCTCACACTACACCAATTTGTACTAAATGAATGCCACATACCACACTCTTGTCCCAACTCCAAACCCTACTCAAATTTCTGACTTGGTAGTTTCTTGTTTGCCATTATTTCATGACAAAGGAAAATTTCTTAAATATCTTTTAAGTTGATTTGCTTTAGATCCAGGTAAGGAATTCCCAAATGAATGATCTAATGCAGAAATCTTAAACTGGGACCTCAAAAAGAAAGGTTTCTTGTCAGTATAGTATTTCTTCATATTATAAATTGGTCCTCCAACTATTTCATATAGAAGTTATTGAGCTCTACCTTTTTTTCTTTTTCCCAAATAAAAAGCAGTGTAATCATTCCTTGCACTGTAAGAATCAGCTGGAATCTTTGTGTTCATTGCAATACTATTTATTTACAATAACCAAGAATGGAAAGAATCTAAGTACCTGTCAAAAGATGAGAGAATAAAGAAGATGTGAGATACACACACACACACGCGCGCACACACACACACACACACCCCAACTGGAATACTAAATATCGAAAAAATAGATGAAACCTTGTCATTTGGAACATCATGGATGGAACTGGAGGGGAATAGGCTAAGTGAAATGAGTCAGATGGAGAAGGACAAATACTGAATGGTTTCACTCATGTGTGGAATACAAAGAAATAAAAGGGGGGGGGGGAGTATAAACTAAGCCAAAACAAATCCTTGAATTCTGACTTCAGAACAAAGATTATGACAAGGGGAGGTCCAAAGACTGGCTGTGGTTGTGGACATGGTGAAGTCACATACCTTTGCAAAGGTATGAGGTCTCTCCTAAAACATATTGTAAATCAATGCTCTACCTGAATTTTAAATAAAGAAAATAAATACATAAGTAGAAGCTCAAACACACTAAAAATAAGCTAGAAAGCACCAAGATCTGTGTACAAAAACCCCAGAAACTGGCCCATCACCATCTAGTAAGATGAAGATGATGAACTAGGGTATGGTCACATGACAGGATCTTATATATTTCACTTCAAATAAATCTACTCCAGAAACATCCAACAATGTGGATGACAGTAACATAAGATTTCATGAAAAAAAAGTCAGCACAAAGCATGATAACCTCTTCACAAGGGGTCAGCCCACCATGTTGTGTGGGGTCATCACATTGACATAAAGAATTAAATGACTAAATGCAACCTAGCAGTCAAACTATGAGAGGATATTATGGACCAGAGGTTACAGACAGCCTAATTGTGGGTATCTGAAATTTTTGAACAAAAGAAAGATTCATCCAGTGTGAGTCAGATACCCCCTTGTAAATGAACCAGTGTTACCATATTTCCTGGGGTCTTAAATGCTCTGCTCTTCCCAACATTGGTGCTATATGACAGATTCCATTTCTCATCTCATCCCAGGCCTGGTCATAAGAGTTACAGCCTCTCTCTGTGAGCCAGTGTTTCTCAACCAAAGGTGATTTTGCCCACCCCACGCCCTAAAACACATACCACACCACACCCCCACCTC